CAAGAACATGAACGGTCTCAGTGAGTATTTCCTTCGATTTCCAGTGATCTCTTGAATGTTGACATGTCTGCATCGCATCAGGGTATCACTACCAGCACTCGGGCGATCACGGCGCCATCGGATTGGCTCTGCTCGCCAGCGGTCAGCACGAGTGCTTGCAGCATACGCGGGCGCACCACTCTCGCACCGTCACTCCAGCCAGCTCCGCAGCCCAGTCTGCCAACAACTCTCCGCAATCAACGCCGGTCGTTCCTCAGGCCCAGTCTGTGCCGCCACGGTCGGTTCACTCTTCGCCCATCAACTCACATCCTAGCCCCCCACAACACTATATGCAGAACATTGCGCCTGCGCCTCCGACATACGCATCGGCGCTGCCTCCGGCGTACTCGATGCAACCTCAGTACTCCCTTCAGCAACACCAGCAGCAGCCACAGCAGTCACAGATGGGCTATGCGATGCCTCCGATGTCCCAATGATTGCCGTTCCCTGGGTGCGCTGTGGTCTCATGGCCTGCCTCGCATTGCTCGCATATCATCCCCCTCCTGACCTCTCTTCGGGCCGGTATCCCTCCCCTTGCTCTGCCTTAATTGTTCTCCATTGTACTTCCTCGCTACCCATACACACATCTACCGTCTACGTCTCTTCATCACCGTCGCGCCGCTGTCCCTGCATCCCAAAAGTAATTCACCGACAGGCATCCAGGGGGATCGCCACTGGAAGGGTGATCCCCGTGGATCCCGATGTCGCTTGCACGCGTTCTGTTCCCCTCGCTCGCTGATACACGATGGGTTGGGTTCTCGGCTCCGTCTTAGTTACGGCTCGCCCACCCCTCTCCCCCCCTCCGGCTCTCCCCTCCACCTGCTCCTCATCACGCCTCATCACGCTCATCCATCATCATCTCATTATCTGCTTCGATCTCACCATCATCTCAGTTTCTCGTCTCGCCTCTCTCATCCATCCCATCAATGACTCAAGAAATTCCCCCTCCCCCCTTTGGCCCGGAAGTCTCCCTCTCTCTCCCCACCGTCGTAGGAATTGTATGTACTTAATTATTTTCTCACCTCCTCCTTAATCTTCCCCCCTTCTCTCTGTCTCTCTGCCTCTCTGTCTCGTTCTCTGTCTCTCTGTCCTTTGTGTATTACGATGTGGGTGAGAACGACGATACTTCCCGTTGCCAAAAAGTAACGTATATACTTTTTCGCTACCACCCGCTATAGCCTAATTCTCTGTCCATACTTCGTGTTCGTGTTCGTGTCTGTCTGCTCTTCCTTTCCTTTCCTTTCCTTTCCCTCTACTACCGGTATTTCTGTGTGTGTGTTGTGTGTTTCTGTTGTTACTAGTACTACTCAACACCTCCCCCTCGTTTGGCCTCCTTGTCCAGTCACTACGCATCAGTCCTACAATGTAATGAATACATGCGTTCATGATCATCCTCGACGCTCGACGTCCCTTCACGCCAGGAATCAAAAAGATCTTAGCATACATATGCTCTCTACGCCTCGTTGCAGTTTGGAGTCCCATGCTCATTTCACTCCACATCAAATTCGCCACCTGCAACTGCTGCTGCACATGTACCGTTGACATGTCCTCGCAGCTGATAACTTGAAACTGCAACGTCCCCGTACGCGCTCAGTACAGTATCTTGATTCTCGACATACTTACACTCACACAAGTCGTCTCATCGCCGTCGGTCCGAATTTGTCGGGGAATGCTCTCTGCTGTGGAAGCTTGAGACGCTACCAGTGCCAGTGGCTAGCTCAGACTGCGGTGAACATCGTCCGCAATGCTGCACATTTCTCGCAGCTGATATGTTTGAGACCGCAGCGCTCCAGCAGCGTAGCTTTCCGCCTCTCCTGCCTTGCATCACCAACCTCGTCATCCACTCGCACACATCCCCCCTCGTCGTCGTGTGGATCATGGGCTATCCGAATTTCCGAATCGTCCACCAGGCTCCAGAGGGCCGGCTTCACCGCAGGCTAAGCGTTTAGGCTCGTTAGAGCAGTACGATTATACTTGGCCCTGATATTGAAGGCCCCCTGAAAACTCCCTCAAATGCCTCTTCGCGGTCCCGACAAAATCGACCCATTTTCCGGCCGGAGGCCTCTTCGGGTCCCGACAAACTGAAGGCCTCAGTGTCGGAGGCCTCTTCGATGTCCCGACAAAAAGTACCTTGGAGGGAGGGTTGCTTCCGGATATTCGGTGCAAGCACTTGAATTAACAAATAAATCTCATCGCGACGCTCCTGGGAGGCTGAGAGAGAGCTCTGAAGAGGATGGGAGGAGATTTTGGCCTATTTTCGGCCCATTGGGGGCCGGAAAAGCTGCACATATGCAGGCGCTTACGCGTCCAGAGGGTAGGCCTATACGGCCATCCCGACAAAAATCGCCGATTTTGCGAGGACCGTCCCGACATCATATGCTGCCCCCGGCGAAGAGGCCTTTGGGGGAGTTTTCAGGGGGCCTTATTGAAGGATATTGACCGTTGTTTGTGCGCAGTTGTTGCCCTGGGAGACTGAGACTCCGACTCAAGAACCAATCCTCCGAGAGATGTGCAGCCCAAAGTAGATCTCGCCCTCCCCACCCTCCAAACGCCAAGCCGCCCGTGCCGTGCGGTCACAGACATCACACCTGCCTTACTAAGCAGTGAAGCTGCCATATATGGCGTTCGTTATGTGTCTTAAAGAGGCAACGGCCTCCAAGTGGCGGAGTGTCGAATTTTTTTCCTTCTGGCTTGATGGCGGCCGACGACCCCCGTCGAGTCCCGTCGCATGTGCCGTCTGATTCGGTGCGTTGATGCCAGTGTACTTTCTCGCTGTTACTTGTCGCTTCGGCAGGAGGGCTGGGCTGATGCAGCGCTCGTTGAACGAGGGCATGGTTCCGAGACAATGATGAGTGGCAAGGAGTCCGCCCTCTGGCGCGCGCTCGCTCGACATGTCACGGTGGTAGTTGGCTCGTTTGTTGCTTGTGTGTGTACCATAGGCAGTGCTTCGAGCTGACAGTTGTCTATACTCGACGCCTCGAAATAGCCCCCCGTAACTGCTACGAGCGCTACCTCCGAGAAGACTGGGTCGAACGGCTGACCAAGGCGAGCTTCCGCTCCGAGCAGAGAGGATGACGCGCCGACGCTTTCAGCACTTTGCACCGTAACCCGACCTCTTGGTCGGCATCTACGCATCACCGATGGATGCAATATCCCGCGGCAGTAACGAGCGTACTCGAATTTGCATAGCGTGCGCATATTCAGATCCGCATCGGCGGCGTTATAGCAGCCCTACTAACTCCTACTAAATGCAATTGACAAGAGATTAGACTGTGATGATGGCTGCATCAGAGAAGGTTGCCTGAAGATCCCCTCCAACATCAGCCAACATCAACACCGCATCAGCCAACATCACAGCATCACAGCAGCCTCGCAGGGATGCATTTGCAAGATGGGGTGTCATGCTGCAAAAGATGGTGGAGAGACGTCTCCATGATCCATCGACTTGTGTTGCGGCGGTTGCGCTCTGAAACTGGTCGAGCAGGTCGTCGACTACGGTACGCCCTCAGCTGACCGTTAGCCGATGCCATTATCCGACGGTACCGGTAAGAGGCCTCAAGTTGCCTTTCGTGCTCGCAACTAACAAACGTCCGCGAATTGTCTTGATAAGTTCCTTCGAAGCGAGAAGATAATTAGTTAGTGACCACTCTGCGTCTCGTCATACGCGTCGGACGAAATGCTATCGACCTCGCTCTGGAGCGACGGCTTCTTGGGTAGGAATAAAGATGCTTCCGCTGAAACAGGTGAGTGAATCTCGGAAGGGGCAGCCCCGGCTGCAGATGGTTGCAGATACTCCCGAACGTTCACTATAGATAGGTATATATGCGATCGAGATGGGCAATGATGCCCTGAATCTGAGACGGTGCGCAATGGACATCATATGCATCGTCAACGCGTTTACTTACTGGCTATAATTCCCAGATAAATCCTCGTGCTATCGTGATTAGCACTCCGCACTTAAGGTACAACATGCGCTGAAGAGCGCCCCAGTCCGATGCGTTTGAATCCGAAGGTGGGCGAGACTCATCCAAGTCTTGTGCAGGTGGGTCGACAAACATATGAGTGTCCGACTCCTTCGGCTGGGCCGCGTGGGTCAGTTGTGGGTCCATAGTCGTCCCGTTCGCGACTCGGAGTCGGTGACGCAACTTCCACAGCTTTCTTCCTTGGCTGCACAAGTGGTCTACCGGCGCAGTGGAAGTTATACTCAACCCACCGGTACATCCAACTACATGGTGTTCCCCGATGGCCGAGAGTGCCCACCCACTCGTTGCGAGAATATGACGCTCACTAACCAGGAAAAGTTTCAAAGTTGGCGTTACTGCAACATGAGATCTTGGGAGCTCACGTACCGACCCGACCTTCACCATGTTAACGTCAGAACTGCTCGGAGCTTGGAATCCGTGGTCGACTCTGCGGTCAATGCGCTCGCGAGTGTTTGTGACATTCGTCCAGCCGTTCAAAGCCGTTCAAACGATCATCCTGAGGCTGTGCGGACTCCGGAGATGGCAAAAATTGACCAGAGTGACAATGCACGGACGGCGTCCTCTTAATAAGCCAACCATGGTCAGGCTGGTCAGGACTTGCGCCACATATTCGACCTGGCTACACCGAAAGTACTGTGACGCTGCTTTCAGCTTCAATGTGTTCAATATGCAGAACCGCGCGAGATCCGAACGAGACGATTGAGCTCGGATCCGAGGAAGTCAACCTTTTACGGTCGTGAGCGAGAGGTCCGAGAGGATTCCGGTTTGTGTGAAGGCCACGGAGATCATCATGTTTATAGGCGGTCACAAAGGTTTGAAGCTCAAAGGTGATAGGATAGACTCACTGCAGATTGACAACACAACCTATTGTTGAACGTGGGATTCCTTGAAGGTTGAAGCATCGGAAAGGCTTCAACTATACGAACACGGTTTGCAGTTCGTAAAGTATATGGCCATAAAGTGCGGGATCTTTAGAATTCGGATATGGTGTAATGGCTAACATTGCCGCCTCTCATTAGTAGACTATGATCCATACTCGCGGCAGCTCGGGGTTCGATTCCCCGTATCCGAGCTCCCATGTCCAGACAAGTGACTTTTTTGGCGCCTGTGCTGTTCGTCGCTGTTTGCTCTTCTTCTCTCCCATCGTTGAACGTTGAAGCTGAAATTCGTTGTTGGCAGCTTTCGAGATCTCCCTCGTCGGCTCGCTCGTCATGCGGCTTCGTCTTGCATTCAATGCCGTTCGACTATAACATCGAAAGCGTCGGTAGACCTTCGCGCTTGTGAAACGGTTCGGGCCGACGTGATTTATTTTCGTCAAGCCAAGCCAAGCGTATGGGTTGATATCACTGGGTGCGGGGCCAATGTTCCCACTGTGAGCAGGTCGTCTTCATCCTCCCTTGCGCTCCATCTCAGGACCTCTGCATCGCTATACGTTTCGATACATGAACTTCTAGTCACGACCGTATCACATTCCTTGCTCTGGCGACTCCATCATGTCCTCGTCACGCGCCGCATATACCGCTGGTACCCCGACCTCAACGACATTCACAGTTCCGTCTGCGCTCCAGAGCCCCACATTCACGCCTGCTCCATTATCCTCCTCGCCGAGTTCGGTCGATACGTCTCGGACACGCAGGCTACGGAATCGCTTCAAGGCGTTTTACGACCGCACCGCAGATACCCTTCGCAATAATGTTGGAATGCTCCTTATCGCGTCCTCGCAGATGTTTTTCTCCTTGATGAACGTCTCTGTCAAGAAACTCAACAGCATAGACCCTCCAGTACCGCCCATGGAGGTGAGCATGACTTCTTTTTCTTGACAGGAATGATCATGTCTGATGTCGATCGATCCGGGAAGCTTATTTGGGTGCGGATGGTGAGCACTTTCTGCTACTTGACTTTGGAAGGTCTATGACGAAGTATTTCACAGACGATAACATGGCTGTGCTGTGTCGCATACATGTAAGTGTAGTCGCATTGTACACACCGAACAGCACGGTATTGACTCACCGACTTGTAGGACTATCATGAAGGTTCCAGACCCCTTCTTAGGTCCGAAACCCGTGCGCTGGCTGCTGGCTCTGCGAGGCTTTGTGGGGTAAGTTATATCCTGGCGTGCGCGGTAAATTCTCAGTCTAACAGTCGTTCTGTAACCCAGATTCTTCGGTCTTTTCGGAGTTTACTATTCCCTGCAGTATCTTTCCCTATCAGACGCCACTGTTCTGACCTTCCTGGCACCAATGTGCACCACGGTTACGGGCGCAATATTCTTGAAGGAGGAGCTGTCATGGAGGCAAGCGGTCGCAGGACGTGAGTCAAGAGTTTTTCCTGAACTCCTGTACGGTGCTGAAAGATTGTTGCAGTATGCAGTTTGTTCGGTGTCATTCTGATCGCACGGCCTCAGTCTATCTTTGGGAATGCGTCTTTGGAGGACGATATTCCATACCCACTGGATGAAAACGTTGGAGAGATTATTGACATCACCACCGTTACTCCAGAACAAAGACTGGTCGCTGTTGGGTATGTGATATTCGCTTTCGCGTATTCGTCCTGTGCAGTGGTTCAAACTAACCCCGGACCTTTACAGTGTCGCCCTCATCGGTGTCCTCGGGGCGACAGGTGCATGTGCGTGATGTTCATTGTCCTGTATATTGACTGTCCATCTTATGCGACTCCTCACCTTTATCCAGACACCACCATCCGTGCAGTCGGCAAGCGGGCGCATCCGATGCACAACCTCGTATCCTTTTCGACTCAATGTGTGATCGTGTCGACCATCGCGTATGTTCCCGGAGACCTTGCCCGGCGATCCCCCTGGAACTGACGTACGTTCGTGCAGGATGCTAGTGATGAGAACTCCAGTAGTGATACCTAACCGATGGGACTGGGCCCTCATGCTGATCATGATCGGCTTCTTTGGATTCTGTGCACAGGTCAGCCCACGTTCAGCTGTTTTATTTTGATGCGGCTATCGCAGGTCAATTGAAGGATTTGCGAATTCATCTCTGACCCGGACCTCGCTTCGTTTCTGTTCAGATCCTCCTCACGCTAGGGTTGCAGCGCGAAACGGCCGGACGCGGAACGATGGCCGTTTACGTTCAAGTGCGTTCTGATCATGTATTTCGCAGTCGAGATCCGGTAGCTGATGGCACCCACCTCTACTTACCTTGCCTACTCACCTCGACGACGACCCTTGATCTCCTTTGTTCATTGTCTACGCACTCCCACAGATCATCTTCGCTACCGCGTTCGAACAGATATTCTTCCATACTACACCGTCCGTACTGTCCGTGGTCGGCACGATCATCATCATGGGGTCTGCTATCTATGTAGCGGTCCGTATTTTTCCGTTCTCCTCCTGTTCATGTTGGTCTGATTCATGTTCCGTTTCCGTGTATTACAGATATCGAAGAACGGGGCCGTGGCCGAAGAGGCCGCTGTTAATGCTGGGGAGGATATCTCCCTAGAAGAAGGCTTACTGGCGAACCAAGAGGACGACGACGCGTCGAAGGAAGCGGAGAACTCAGACGTAGAGCGGTCACCGAGGTCGAGTTTGACTCTCAGCAAGAGCTGAGCGGCAGGTAGAAGAGGAGGGCCGTCATAGAAGAGTCTCTGGTCTCGCGCGCACATTTCTAGCTTTTCTCAACAAGGGACTATGGGGTCATCGTCACGCCGCACTTCACGTCGTATGTAGACGCGTATTCCAGTCATCTGCATGGGAGAACCATTTAATACACACACTATTGGACACAAATACAAACATTTGATACATTGGGTGGTGACGGTACGAAGACAACGACATTTCAGCCGCAAGGAGGACTCGAAGCAAGCTGTATACTCGGTGAGCTTGACTGTATCGATGCACGACATTGCTGTCCCGCTCACCTGATGGCTACTGGGACTCGGTACAGACGCCAGCAATCTTTCACTCATCTCGCGCATTGCCAACACCCCTTCCCTGTATTGTACGCTGTGAGCAACAACGGAGGAAAGCTCCCTCGTCTTGTTGTCCAACTCGGTCTTCACGTCCACGAGCTCCTTGGACTGGTTCTTTTTCACGTCCGTGACCTCCTTGACGAGGTTGGTGATCTGCTCGTGCAGATGTGTGACTTCTTTCCGATGCTGAACTGTCATGTCTGCCATCGTCTTTTCCAAAGTCTCTATGGTGCGGACTTTTTCCTGCAGCTGAACAATTTGTTCACCCTTCGCTTTCAGCTGGTCATCCTTCTCTTTCAGTTGCTCTTCCAGCTCTTTTCTTACCGCGATATCTGCAGTTACGTCTTGGGTAACGGAGGCAGCGTCATTATCATGGACTATGGCAGGAAGCTCGAGGATAGATGGAGTGCCGCGAGGTGAGCTGCGAGGAGTAGGGAGTACCGACGGTGCAAGAGGCGTAGGAACGCGAGATACAGCGGGACTGCCGACAGCATCTATTCCAGGGCCTCCCGACGAAGCACGGTTTACAAAACCATCTGCAACCCTAGCCCATGCCAGAAGATCTTCCTCTTCGGTCACAAAAGGCAAAGTCGGCGCGTCATCGGTATGAACGTTAGCCCATGCCAGGAGATCTTCCTCTCCGGCCACCAATGACAAGGTTGGCGCGTCATATGTAGGAATGTTGCTGGACGCGTTCCTGGGAGGGTCGTCTGGGGAAGTCGTGGTTGTAGCAGAACCATCCCCAGGCTTTTCCTCTTCAAGGGATGGCAGCAAATCGGATTGGGATGGGATCTCATGCATCACAGGTGGGGGTGAATGCGCAAGCTCCTTCAATTCGGGGTACCGTCGCGCAAGTTCATGGTATACGTCACCAGAAAGGTCGCTGAAGCGGCCTGTGCGTAGTGTAGCGAGCTTTTGGCGAGCTTGGTTCCGTTCAGGAGGAAAGTCGTCTCGAATGGGTAAGTACGGAACTGACGGAAAGCACTGTCAAATAGAGAGGCCTCGAGACGTGGATACGAGACGTACCTTTCCTGTCGGTGTCATTCAAATTCGTCCGACGACGGACTAGGTCGTCGTAGACGTCGGTCGATAGCTCACGGAGCTGTTGACGAGTGAGACGCGCCAATGTTTTTCTTGCAGCTGTACGTGAACCACTGGCAGAGGGCTCTACGTGAGAGGAGCGTGTCAGCTATGGCTATCATCCTGAAAATTGATCAGAGACAGGGCGTACTTTTGACGAGACCAGAGTTAAGGTATCGGTGGAGCTCATCGAAGTGGGTACGCGCGATGGAATACGACGGCCCGTCAGATTGTAAGTTCGTGGGGGGATAAGAGTCGGTGTCAGAGGAAGAGAACGTTCTCCTCTGGACTTGGTCACTATTTGGAAACGCCACAGGTCTCAAGGCGGACGTGTAATTGGAGATGGAGGGACCGGTGTAGGTAATGTTGGTCGAGAATGACTCACGAGCAAAGTTAATGCGCTGGGCATCGGAAGTCTTCCGAAAGTTCATGTTGGCCTGAAATGTTTCGTGGACGACGAAGGTAGTCCAAATAAGAGAGGATGTCAGGATGGCCTGCTGCAGTATACATCAGTGGGCGAGAGCGATGATCCTTGGGTTCAGTGATCCCTCGTCTTGTAGTAGCATTGCCACGCCGTGACGGGCGGGCTCTCACGAATCGCTTTACTGTGTCTCATTTCTTTACGACGCATGAGATCTTTCGTCCCCGACGAGCTCGAATACAGGTCGCAAGTTGAGACAGTGAGAATTGCTCTGCCCAAAATTGTAGACGGGTTTGTGGTCCATGGAAGGCGGTAACTCTAGAACTCTAGAAATATGTAAAGTGCATATTGGAGACATGGCTGGTCGTCTTCTGAGCAGTCTGACGCATCGTGATCAAGCCTATGATACTGCGTGTCGCGACGAGTTGACCTGTTGTAGGCTCGGGAAGCGCAATAGTGACCATGACGGTCAAAGATACGTCCCTTCGAAAGAGCTGTTCTTGAGAGTCATCATCGTCATCCGCTGCTTCTCATCTGGTCCCATTTCAGCATCCATAATTGCCATAGTCCTTGCTCACAGCCGATTCCGTTGTCGGTCCCACGCTCAATGAGCTCAAACTGCAAACAATAAAATT